TTTACATTGCGCTAATTTTCCGTGTTATTGGTAAACTTGTTGTGAGCGGCACGCACCGGCCTATCTGCCTCATTCCTGCTCTTTATTAACAGCAATAAAATGCTATGCGGAGACGTGATGGGAATGAATGACGATGCATCTAGAGGGAAGGAGAAGGGGGGGGGTGCGGGGGTCCCGCCTGCAGCAACCCAAGGGCCAATAATCACCGTTGTAGTTCTTAAAGGGTTAATGCGACCCCGTCTTCTAATAAGGATGATTGGATGGGGTCCCTGGAGCCTCTTTTTTTCTGGTTTGGCTCTTCATTTGAGTCATTACCGGGAAAGTAGAGTGAAGGTGGGATCAGGTCCTTCGGAAAGGACGGAAACAGAGAGGGGGAGAGCGATGGCCCTTGTGGAAATGACTCTAATAAAGCTTAATGAAGGACTGTGACTGTCCCTGATATGAGGCTCATTGTTATTAAATCAGCAATTAACATTGGGGGTGGGGGGGGCATGGTGTCACATTGTTTTCCGGTGATTTTGTATTCCAGAATAACAGGCCAGAAAGGGGAAGAGGTTCTTCCAACCAAAGTGAATGTAACACCCACACTTCTAATAAGTGACCACATAGATAAATATTGATGATCCTCCGAGATTTACATTTACACCTCCTGGAACATATGTATTTATGTCTATCTGCCTGAGCTCCATGCAGTCTATAGAATCTCTCTATTCCATCTATATATCTAGATCTCTCCCCCATCTGTCTGTCTCATCTTCCTTTCTTTCTTCCTTCCTTCCTTCCTTCCTTCCTTTCTTTCTTTCTTTCGCTGTCTCTTCTTATTTATCTATATAACCATCCATCTTTTATCTCTCCCTGTATCTATCTATCTATCCATCCATCCATCCATTTAACCACCCATCTCTTATCTCTCCCTTTATCTATCCATCAATCTTTCTGTCTATCCATTTTTATCTCATCTATCTATGTATCCATCTATCCAACCATCCTTCTATCTATCTATCTATCTATCTATCTATCTATCTATCTTTCTTTCTTTCTTTCTTTCATCTACCCACTTGTCTTTATTTCTTTCTTTATATGACCATTTTCTTTTTGTATTATTTCATACTTTCTTGATCTTCCTTTCTTTCTTTCTACCTCTCTCTATCCATTTGTCTCTATTTCTTTCTTTTTTTTTTCTTTTTTTTTCTTTCTTTCTTTACCCTTTCACTCTTATGTCTTTCTTCTATCTATACAACCATCCATCTCTTATCTCCCCCTTTATCAATCTATCTATCTATCTATCTATCTATCTATCTATCTATCTATCTATTGCATATAAACACATTCCTGGAAACATATTTCCAAACCAAACTGTTTTTTCACATATGTAATTAAATAGGAATTAATGGCCAAAGCAATATTTCTTTCTTTTTTTTTTCTTTTTTTTTCTTTCTTTCTTTACCCTTTCACTCTTATGTCTTTCTTCTATCTATACAACCATCCATCTCTTATCTCCCCCTTTATCAATCTATCTATCTATCTATCTATCTATCTATCTATCTATGTAATAATCTCTCTGTCTAATAATTTTTATCTCATCTATCTATGTATCTTTCTATCCAACCATCCATCTCTTATCTCCCCCTTTATCTATCTATCTATCTATCTATCTATCTATCTATCTATCTATCTATCTATTGCATATAAACACATTCCTGGAAACATATTTCCAAACCAAACTGTTTTTTCACATATGTAATTAAATAGGAATTAATGGCCAAAGCAACCTCTGCCTACAGTAGTCATGCCTGTGGCTGTCAGAGTCTTGTAATGCCTCATGGGACTTGTAGTCCTGCAACTGCTGGACTGCTGAGGTTGCCTACTCATGACTTATACCAGGGGGAAGGCAACCTTGGCACTCGGGCCGTGCTGAAACTACAAATGCCAGCATGCCTCAGCCTCTGGGAGTCTTGCCTGTTGCTGTTAGGAATCTTGCAATGCCTCATGGGACTTGTAGTTCTGCAACTGCAGGACTGCTGAGGTTTCCTACTCATGACTTATACCAGTGGGTAGGCAACCTTGGCCCTCCAACTGTGCTGAAACTACAAATGCCAGCATGCCTCTGCCTCCATTAGTCATGCCTGTGGATGTCAGAGTCTTGCAATGCCTCATGGGTCTCGTAGTCCCGCAACTGCTGGAGTGCCCCGGAACTATCAGTTCAAATATCACTTCTGAAACAAGAACCCATTTGTTTTGTTTTTTACATCACCACCAATGTTGGTGCCGACTCTCGGCTGCAAAGCTGGTGGTAACATTTTTGCACATGGAAATCGCAGACCTGGGGACTGATGTGTGATGAGATCTCACCGCCGAAGGTGAAATTAACCATGGCTTTGTTTTCTCTGACTTTTAACAGAAAAAAATAAAAATAATAACATGTTTAAAGTGGACATATCAATGTAAAGGCGGAAAGATCAATTTTACGTCGGAAATAAAAAAAAATTAAGGTGGAATAAAAAAATTTAAGGCGGAAATATTAATTTTAAGGCGGACTAACCCATTAAAAACCCCAAATGTGGCTTCTGCGTACTTCTAATCCTGAGCCATACGGAGCTAAAAAAGGTCTTCGCAGCCATTCATTGTCCCAATCAGCCTTCTAATTGATGGATGTGCCGGCTACTCACGCTCCTGCCATCTCTTACACATTGCAAATGATCTTGCGCTGCCCCTGCATTTTTTACAGCTCCGCTTGATGTCACACGAAGCGTGGGAGATAATATCCTTCGAAAAAAGCAACTGCCATTAAACCAAACGCGAAAAAAGCTCGCCTGGCACAGAGCGCAGAGAGCTTGCCCCCAACGCATTTAACCTCGTCCGCCAGGGCTCCCTTTGCGCCGTTAAATGCCGCTGGCGTCCATAAGGCCTACTCAGCCTCCAGCTGCTCGGTTAGATTACAAAGACTGTTCCCCGTCGCTTATTAATCGCAGGAGGCAATTTACATTGCGCTAATTTTCCGTGTTATTGGTAAACTTGTTGTGAGCGGCACGCACCGGCCTATCTGCCTCATTCCTGCTCTTTATTAACAGCAATAAAATGCTATGCGGAGACGTGATGGGAATGAATGACGATGCATCTAGAGGGAAGGAGAAGGGGGGGGGTGCGGGGGTCCCGCCTGCAGCAACCCAAGGGCCAATAATCACCGTTGTAGTTCTTAAAGGGTTAATGCGACCCCGTCTTCTAATAAGGATGATTGGATGGGGTCCCTGGAGCCTCTTTTTTTCTGGTTTGGCTCTTCATTTGAGTCATTACCGGGAAAGTAGAGTGAAGGTGGGATCAGGTCCTTCGGAAAGGACGGAAACAGAGAGGGGGAGAGCGATGGCCCTTGTGGAAATGACTCTAATAAAGCTTAATGAAGGACTGTGACTGTCCCTGATATGAGGCTCATTGTTATTAAATCAGCAATTAACATTGGGGGTGGGGGGGGCATGGTGTCACATTGTTTTCCGGTGATTTTGTATTCCAGAATAACAGGCCAGAAAGGGGAAGAGGTTCTTCCAACCAAAGTGAATGTAACACCCACACTTCTAATAAGTGACCACATAGATAAATATTGATGATCCTCCGAGATTTACATTTACACCTCCTGGAACATATGTATTTATGTCTATCTGCCTGAGCTCCATGCAGTCTATAGAATCTCTCTATTCCATCTATATATCTAGATCTCTCCCCCATCTGTCTGTCTCATCTTCCTTTCTTTCTTCCTTCCTTCCTTCCTTCCTTCCTTTCTTTCTTTCTTTCGCTGTCTCTTCTTATTTATCTATATAACCATCCATCTTTTATCTCTCCCTGTATCTATCTATCTATCCATCCATCCATCCATTTAACCACCCATCTCTTATCTCTCCCTTTATCTATCCATCAATCTTTCTGTCTATCCATTTTTATCTCATCTATCTATGTATCCATCTATCCAACCATCCTTCTATCTATCTATCTATCTATCTATCTATCTATCTATCTTTCTTTCTTTCTTTCTTTCATCTACCCACTTGTCTTTATTTCTTTCTTTATATGACCATTTTCTTTTTGTATTATTTCATACTTTCTTGATCTTCCTTTCTTTCTTTCTACCTCTCTCTATCCATTTGTCTCTATTTCTTTCTTTTTTTTTTCTTTTTTTTTCTTTCTTTCTTTACCCTTTCACTCTTATGTCTTTCTTCTATCTATACAACCATCCATCTCTTATCTCCCCCTTTATCAATCTATCTATCTATCTATCTATCTATCTATCTATCTATGTAATAATCTCTCTGTCTAATAATTTTTATCTCATCTATCTATGTATCTTTCTATCCAACCATCCATCTCTTATCTCCCCCTTTATCTATCTATCTATCTATCTATCTATCTATCTATCTATCTATCTATCTATTGCATATAAACACATTCCTGGAAACATATTTCCAAACCAAACTGTTTTTTCACATATGTAATTAAATAGGAATTAATGGCCAAAGCACTTGGAATAAAACATGTTACATAATAAAATAAGTAAAACTCCATGAACCCGGACCATCCATATTATCCTATATCCATCAACTCTCTGTTAGCCATGTCTGAAGATATTAGTCCTATTAGTTTCTAATGCCATTTATTGTCATATAATCCATTATTCATTATTCAGCTGTACATTAGATTTTTAATTTACACCAAGGTATAAAGCCCATCTGACATTATTCCTTTTACCTTTTTAAAATAGAGGTTAAACCATAATATTTAAAAAAAAGAGCTAAAGAGTTTCTTTCTTTTTTTTTGTATGTGTAAAGTTTGTTTCTGCACTTTACAAACCTGAATGAGAGCTGCTGAAGCATTGAATTGTTTAATAGGAAGAGTCACATGCGGCATGGAGGTGCCTTGGAGGGGCTGGGTGCCAAATCTCTCGGTGAAGGATCCAGCCATTAAAAAGTGATTTCTTTTTTGTTCACAGTGTTTTAATCTGCTCAGCCCGGAAGTTTTATAGTTCTTTAGCTCTGAACCGCAGTCCTGGACATGTCTTTCAGAGAGCAAGCTGTGGAAACATTGTCATGAAGTTTTCTCACGTGTTTCTTTAAGTCAAAATTCCTACAGAACCCCTTTCCACAGGTCCCACAAGTGAAAGGTTTCTTGTCATTGTGCGTGTGCATGTGAAACGTTAAATTGTAGATCTGATGAAAAGCCTTGTTGCAGATGGTGCATTTGTATTGCTTTTCTCCGCTGTGGGTCAGCTTGTGATTTTTGTAATTCCCTAAAAGAAAATAAATTCATTCATTAGAATTTTTTTTTAAATGTGCAATTTGTTTTACATTTTCACAGCCAGCACCTTTAAATACACTTTCCTGGAGGAAGCTTCATTAGGATTGAAGCCACAAGTCGCTGGAAACTTGTCAAACTTACTCTGCGTCAACCTAATTGAACAGGCAACTGTCAAATTAAAAAATTATAAAAAGGTCAAATTTGTGACCCGGAGAAAAGCAGAAGAAGGAGAAAAAAAAAGTGTAGGAAATAAATGGCACATTCTTTTTTCCCCCCTTCTAATGTAGTTAATACCGGTGGTGAAAGATGTCGAATGTAATGAACCTGAATGCGGAGGGACTACATATAAATCTGAAGGAGCAGAAGAAGAAAAAAAGAAGAAGAAGAAGAAGAGAGAGAGATGTTTATAAATAGATAGATAGATAGATAGATAGATAGATAGATAGATAGATAGATAGATAGATAGATAGATATTATAGAGCTAAATCAAACGAAACGAACAGGATGCTAAAGTCTAAATAAAAGTACAAGTATAAGACCCCCACAAACATAGCAAAATAATCGATAGGATTTGCGAACCTTATTACCTTTTTGGTGAAATCCCTTGCCGCAGAATTCGCACACGAACG